TCGTGGGCTGCTTTCTCAAATTGTTTTTGCGAGCACATTGCGTCGGCTCTTTGGATCCTTTGACCTCGGTTCGTCGGCTCGTATTGTCCTTATACTCTAAAACTTGAATGATACAACCTTTATCAACAAATGATAAAAAATCGAACGAACGGAATGCTAACGTTAAGCGCAAAAACGTGGCAAATAATTTACATTAACATCATCAAATCATAAAAATATAAATTGGAGTGGGGGTGCATATCGGGCAGTTGTCGTTGTCGGATGTCGTTGCCGGCTGCTGCTGTCCTGCCACCGTCGACCCTCGCCACCGCTCATCCTTGTCGTTCTTCGCAGAGTAAAAAGGACTTCGGACGATTGCCAGCCTATCCGTGCTACCCGGAAGTTCTGCCCCTTCCGGGCATGGGCATCACGGCGGAGATCATAGGCCCGCCGAGGAATGTGAGCAGCCATCCCCATCTGACTCATATTCCTGGCGCCATACAAATACAAAGATGAAAATGCACATACACTTACACTTTACATAGATACAAAATGCATTCATTTTTATGCGTTTTTGCATATATGCAAATTACAAAAACGCATATTGGGAAAAGGCTCTGTGTGTGTGTGTCTGTGTGTTCGCAGTTTTTGTCACCCACTTTCAACTCGAGAATCAGAAAAGCTAAAATGCTAAAACTTTGAGGATATGTGCCTATATCATGTGCGACTTTGCGTTTTAATTTCATTCCCCGTAGACGCTTGGTGTGATACAGACGCTTTAAAAAAATATGAAAATTTTTTGTCGGGAACGCGACCTCGGGAACCACACAGCTAAGGGGCTGAAACTTTGTAGAAAACTTTGTAGGGGTATTCGTGTGCTAGCTAAAGGCTTCAAATTCAGCCCCCAGGTGTGCGTAGTACTCACTTAAGAGCGTATGAAATTTTTAGGGGGAAAATTGCTAACTGGGGTACCAGGTAAGTTAGAAAGCTGAAGTTTTGGGGGTATATCCCCTGTTCAAGTACAAATCAAGTATTTCCAATTCAGCTTGAGGTATGCGTGGCTCTTACGTACGGGCACTTAAAAGTCTTGGCGAAAAAATTTTTCACTGAACAACTAGGTTACTTTTAAAGAATGACTGTTAAATGGGGATTGTATATTTACTTTGCAAAATTTACAGTGATTTATGCTAGTGACCGCAAAAGGTAGGTGTAAAGCAAAGCCATCCATGCAGTTAATGACCTGAGTACTTCAGGTCCGGTGCAAAAACGCATGATCGCACAGGCCCGCCCGGTACGTACAGCCTGGGTTGAATTTGAATTCACACAAAATACATACACTTTCGAGTTTGAATGAAACTCCATGAGTCATGTTTCTCGAGAAATTACATCTCGACGGATGGTAAGGATATGCAGTCCACTTAGCCTTACGACCGGTAGCGCTACATTTCAGCCAGTGGTGTTGCCATACTACCCATCAGTTCGTGTAGGCTTCAGCAAAGTGGTGCTGTATGCATTAATTGCACTTTTATGTGTTGGTTGCTACAGCGAGCAAAAACGCGTATTGTCGAGAAGTCACCTGTGCGTGTTCAGAAGTGAGTGAACTTTGTCATCCACTTTCGACTTAGCAATCAGGGAAGCTGAGAGGCTGGAATTTTGGGCATGTGTTCCTACGTCGTGTGTTGCCTTGTCGTTTTAAGACCTTTCCCCCCCACGCACCTAGACCCCGCGTACGGATCCCGGAAAAATCAAGCAGATTCCTTTGGTGGGAATCGATTTCGCGAACCAGACAAGGTAGAAAGCTGAAACTTTGCAGGATATTCTTTGCGCATGTGCGAGCTAAAGATTTCAAATTCAGCTGTCGCGCACTCTTATGCTGCGCGTGCGATTATACCAAATTTTGCACTTGGCACTGCGCTAACTCGAAAGCTAATCGGAAAACGGTGGCTGAAATTGTGTCAGCATATTTATCGCCCATATGGGAAGTCCTAAATTGGGTTCCGATTTGCACTTACTCCACCACTTAAGGCACTTTGACGTTGAAGCGGCTATTTTGCTTACCGAACAAGATATGAGACTGAAACTTCGCTAGGATATTCTACTTTCATGTGTAGTCTTGATTCTGCCTGAAGGTGAAATTCGCTGTAGATGGTAATGAAAAATACTAAACTTTGCTGCAAAATTAGGAAAGAGTGCATTTTGCAACATCTAATTCATTTACATATTTGAATTTTTTTGACGAACGACCATGCTGGCAACGACCGCTAGATGGGAACCTTATTTAGGCAAAATTTGCGATGATTTACAGTAGTGAGCGCAACATTTATGTAGTTAGCAACTGATTACTTCAAATTTGGTGCAAAAAAGCATGATCGCACCGGCAAGCCTGGTGCGTTCCAATCTAGGTTTTTCCGGTAAGCGCGCTGCGAACAAAACATTTTTTATCAAATAACATTATAGTACTACAAAATAGGATTATGTTTCGGCTGGGATGCACCATATGCCAAACGT